CAGTATATATACTATATTAATGAAGTTCGCTGGCATTTAAAAGGAGATTAAAAATATATATTTTAAAAAATATATATTAAAAATATATATTAAATATATTTTACCAATTACTACCAAAATGTAGTTATCGTCAGATATTGCCATGTAATTTCATTTAATTTTTTTTACTTATTTCTGGAATTTTATCTAGGCCCATGGTCTTAATGATAGTACCAAATATGGATAAGAATTAATAATGACTAATAATGAGCGAATAATATGAATTACACATTCATTTTCCATGTTTCAATTTAAAAATGAAGTCTAATGTAAGATTCAAAAGGATACTAGATGGATTGTATTTTTATTCATTTTATCCGTACATGCGGAGGTGCACTAATCGATATAAAACGTTCTCTAAAGACTGATAATATCAGATAACATATTCAAAGACTCGAAACTCTAAGATTTCAATACCAATACCTTAGCTAACCACCAACCTCATTCACATCTTTAACATTCATCTCAAGAGATGGAGCACCGAATAATCAATTCCCACAGTGATTGCACTGAAATAACACTTCGCAAACACTGTTACTATGCCTATCAATATCTCATCACTTCTGTTTCACAATAATTTGTATGTAATTTTCCAATACTAATAAATAATAATTATTATTATTATAAATAATAATAATTATTATTATTATTATTATTACTATTATTATTATTACTATTATTATTATTATTATTATTATTATTATTATTATTATTATTATTATTATTATTATTTATGTCATTTATATAAAACATTTTCCAAAAGCTGCCTCTATGCGCTTAAGATAAAGCGACGTTATACATTTGTCAATTTTTAAACGAAGTCTACAGTTTTAGTGATACCATATTTAAAGATCAAACATACTTTAAATGACCAGTAATTTCCCTCTACTACAGAAATGGGCTAGGTCTAGTTATTGTTTGGAAAGACGCAATTAAACAGGATATTATACGGTGTAGTCCTATAACAAACAAAAAACAACCGAAGTGCCACTTTTTTTTAGAATTAAGCTATGCATAGTTAGTTAGCGCTCTGAGACTATATTGTCTAGAGCGGTTTAAAAAATGCTTGTTTATTATTATTAGTATTTATTAGTATTTATTAATTCTAAGAACATTTATTTCCATAGGCTATACATCGACTGAGCCGGTATTATTTTCAGAAGCGGTAAAATGCTACATCAATGATGAGGATGACATTAATGGTAATAGCATTTATCTTGAACGTTTTTTTTTAAAAGTTATTAGTGATAATGGATTCTTCATCAAGATGAGTGGACCACTGATGGATGTATTAATATCGTTATTATTGAATACCATTCAAATCACAACAACAGACGTGTCAAATGGAATCAATCAGTCTATGTGCACATCACCAATAACAACGTATTTCACTTAACCTATAATTTAACAAATACAGTAGACCTATTAATTAGCCGGTTTCTGTTTACATTTCAGATTCTACAGAGTGTCAATAGTTAACGTCGTGTATACTGGCTTAAGGGCTGTTTTCTTGGATTGACTTGCGTATTGATCACTCGGCTGACGCAAACCATTAACCTAGACTGACGCAAATAGTAACGCTCGAACCCGGTGTGACTTTTCAACTCAGAGTTACGATTGACAGATACCACGTTGACGAGAGTGAACGAGTGCATATATCCAAATAAGGCATAGCAACATTTTATATTTATAAATAAATTAATTTCTATGTGGATTATTTAAACACTATTGTTGTTATTTTGTTTGTTTTGATTTTATTTCAACATTGAAATGAGGAAAAGCTTACGAAATAAAAAAAAAAAATTAAAAATCCTACACTACACAGGCCTACAAATTTACAAAGGTGAAACAAATTAATAAAAACATGAAGTTAAAAAAAACCGAATATTTATTATTGTCCATTTTGTCATTATTTAAAAAAAAAACTATTTTCTCATGCTACATTAACTACTGGGAGAGAGCAATCAAATTACCTCATTAAAGTATTAATGATGTTTTGGTGACCTCATTAAGGTTTTTTTTTATAACTGCTAGTGTGATGAATATTATATTTAATGTTTTGTTTGTAGTTTATATATATTTATATATATTCTAGGTTTTCCTGAATAAATAATTAAATAAATAAAAGTATATATTTCGATGTGTGTTTGTCCTACCTAACGTGTTATCGTACTAAATACTCAGTTTCGCAAGTACCTGGGAACGTGCTGAGATATTTAGTACGATAACACATCAGGTAGGACAGAACATCACTTGTATGATATTTTCCTGACGCAAACACACATCGAAATAGTATTGCTTGAACGCTAGTCACTAAGCGCAAGCTCAGTGTCTATTGGTTATGACAACATTTATCTGGAGGTCTTGGGTTCTATTCCAACTTGCGTATTTGGGAAAGTACCGAATACGGTAGGTCAAAACATCACTTTCCAAATAAGGCATAGCAAAATTCTATATTTATAAATCAATTAATTTCTCTGTGGATTATTTAAACACTATTGTTGTTATTTTGTTTGTTTTGATTTTATTTCATTGAAATTTATTTTATTGAAATAAGAAAAAGCTTACGAAATAAAAACAAAATGGAAAATCCTACACTACACAGGCTTACAAATTTTAAAAAGTGAAACAAATGAATATAAACGTACTGAACACGGTAGGTCAAAACATCACTCAATTAGATACATACCGTAGTGTTAGTTTTTTGTGTTGTTAATAACAAAACTTAAAATAAGGATCATACACAGTGGCGCATCCAACGGAGGGGGGGGGGTGGTGTCCCCCTTCAGAGGTTGAAAAATAAAATGCCTATTTTTCAATGTTTACAAATAACTGATATAAATTGTCAGTATTAAAGTACCATTTTTTCGGTCTCTGGAAGTCCCCAATAATTTTAAGATTTTCCCACCTTAGCCTCAACCATGATGAGGCTCAGGTGAATATAGTAATTTTTGTAGATTTTATGTATTAAGTGCCATTTTCCGGCATCTAAAAGTCTCAACTTCTTAAAATGTTGTCATCTTAGCCCAGGGTTGGCGCCAGCGGGAGGGGGGCCACCCCCCCCCCCGTCAGGGAGAAAAAGCACAATTCGTCGGGGATTAAGAAAATTATATGTATTTTTTACATGTTAGTAGACTCTAAAATAGATTAATAAGCCTTTGAAACTACTAAATTGTTTTCGGGGGCTTGGCCCCCAGGACCACTTTCAGAACCTTTTAATCGAAGCTCGACCACGCCCACTTTGCTTTCGTCGAGGATATCTGACCCCTCTTCGGGGGCACCATCGGGCAAATCCTGCCGCCACCCCTGTCTAAGCCCCAACCAGGCCTCAGGTAGATATGGTAGTTTTTGTAGCTGTCTAACCTCAGCCTGATGGCTGAGGTGGGTGGTAGTAGTTTTCAAAAAAATAAAAGATTAAGTATCCATGTCCCGTTTTGGAGCATCTATAAAGTCTCAAATTCTTAAAAATTTGCGCCCAAAAACCATGGTGGGCTCAGGAAGATATGGTAGATTTTCTAATTGTAATAATTTTTTTGTGCATCTATAAATCTCAAAGTCTTAAAATTTGCTCACCTAGCCCCAACTATTTCCGTAGATTTTATGTATTAAATTGCCATTTTCCGGCATTTAAATGTCTCATATTCTTAAAATATTCCCAACCATGGTGGGACTCAGGTGGATATGGTCAGGGAGTTGTTATAGTTGCTATAACAACTGCCTGAAGGGCTTATGGTAGTTACTTTTAATCGTCTTACCACAGCCTCATCCAACTATGGTGCCTGAGGTGGATGGTAATTTGAATTAGCGAAGTGCCGTTTCGGGCATCTATAAAGCCTCAAATTCTTAAATTCATTAATTTGCGCCTCAAATATTTATTTATTTATTTATTCCAATCGAACAGCGAATCATTGCCACTAGGTGGGGCTCATGTGGACATGTTGGATTTTATAATTGGATAATACAAGTACTACTTTCTGGCATCAGTCTCAAAGTCTTAAAATGCTCTCACCTGAGCCACAACCATGGTGGGGCTCAGGTGGATAAAAATGGTAGTTTTTTTTAATTGTAAGTATTCAAGTGCCATTTTCGGGACCTATTTAGGCCTAGTAATTCGGGTTTTTGTTTTTTTTTTAACTTAATTTGTCATACTAACAATTTCTCACGTCATCACCAACCATGGTAGTGCTCACGTGGTGGGTACTTACTACTGGTACAGTGTTTAAAACGGTAGGCCTATGTTATTATACTACATGTTGTAATACAGTTACGCTCAATGAAAAATCCTAGCATGCGAATGATATTCAACGGTATCACAGATAACAATATGCTGCCCTTGTAGACTGACAATAGAGGAAACCGCCAGCAGGCGAATAAATAATAAGTATACTGCGTGCATACACTAATTAATATTAATTAGGCCACCTGATGCATAACAACCTTTCACATGATGCAGGATGTTGAGATATCAACAGGCATATCAGAGGTAACAACAGGTGGGAAAACTGCTATAATAGTATGACTTAAAATTCACTGGCTTAAGCAAGGATTTTATCTGTTTCAAAGTGCGATTTACGACCATACTTAACTTATAGGGTGGAATATAATCTAAATTGTATTCACTGTATGTTGTATTTTAATGGTTGAACATTTATGTCTATAATGTGTTTGTATATCAGACCTAGTACTCATAGGCCTGTTTAAATGTTAATTACAGTACTACAAATTTAATTATACGGCCTGCGTGTATCTGCACGCAAAAAACACAACCAGCTGTAGGCTATGTGAGTGCAGAACTCCCTTAAACGTGGGACACAGCAGCTCTTTAGAAATGGTTGTGATTTAGTCTGCGTCATTAGCCTCTCCGATACACAAAGTAAAGTGTTGTTTTGATGAATGTCAGCAAAGATAGGCCTAATTCTGCGGAAACTAATGCATCTTCAATTTGAATGAATGACGTTACACAGTTGACGTAAGCGGTGGCTATTGTAAAAGAGATGGTCTAAAAGACACATTGATGAAAACTGCAATTGTCCAAACAAAAATAACGTCTGTAATCTGAAACCAATTTTACTAATTCATTATTTTCAAGTGAATCCTTATTTTTCTGAATGCATTAAATACCATGTTCATACCAAACATTCGGAAAATGTTCATATTGGCTTAGGGTTATAGACCTACACAATTATCGGTATACAAACATTCAGCTTGGGTGGGGTAGTGTGGCAGCCCAGAAACAAATTCTTAGGCTAAGCAAGTATGGGCATGTAACAATCATTTACTTACCGTAAACAGAATAGTCTGCCTTTACGATTTTACCATACTGCACACAAATTGCCAATTTCCCTATGGCCGCGCTTTGCATATAGCTGCTAAAATGTTACAGGCTACGTGATACCGTAACAAAATCAAAACCTCCGTACTCAATTGTCAGACTGCGATTCATGAACACAGGCTGAGAATGAAGATATATTGATGTATATATAATCTCTGCACGAGCCGTCCCTTGTCTAACTAACAAGTAACATGATTTGAATTCTGATGTTTACTACATGGCTTGTTCTATTCAACCAACATTTAATATTCATTGATCTTTGATCGGAGGTACCGAGATATTAATAGATAACACGGTCAGTACGGAACTATATGTGCACAGGAAACCAGGGAGTGCCACGGCGGTACTGTAATATTAAAACCGCAGCTTATGCCTATAAATTGATACAAATTATCCAGACGTGGATTATAAGAAAGTAACACATTTAAATCCGTTTCAGCAAGTAGCATAGTTTAATGTAAACATTACAGAGGCCTTGTATAATATGTTGAAGATGCGGGTTCACTCGACGAGATCCTATTTCTTTAAACAAAAATCTGGTGTATATATATATTATATATATATATATATATATATATATATATATATATTGTACAAGAACTGTATAATAAATTCCTCTTGAAATCAAATTAAATACATCTAACATAAACCCATTTGATGGTTTAGGTCACTGTCTCTTAATTAATTTGTTTTAAGGGCCAAAAATATATTTTTAGTTGAGTTCTCGGCCCATAATATTTGAGTCATGAGGCAACTCGTTATAATGTTTTTGGCAACTTCAAACTCTTTTTATTTGTTGCACAACAATATTAGATTATTGCAAACATAAAAGTTCTGTAACTTTAAGTGAAGCATACATATCAATATTTTGTTTACACCATATTTGCCTTAATCACAGGATGTTAAAACAATAAAAAATTGCATTCAGTGCAATTCTAACAAACGTTAGAAATATTTTAAAAAGTATATATATATATATATATATATATATATATATGTATATATATATTATATATATGTATATAAATCGCATAAGTTACATAAAGGTAAGTTAACATAATGTTAATACTGATAGTTAAACCATGGATTAATAAAGTACTGAACTTATTCTTCCATGGTTAAACAATTCAAATAACATTCATTTAATGAATTAAACCGTATTTAATGAAATAGGTCTGATATGCTACCAACCACTGTAACATATCGGTAGAATTTTAAATAAAAGTAGGTGTAATAATCGTAGAAGCGAATCTTTAGAGGGCACTCTGAGTACAAAGTACTGTAGAAAAAAAGACGTAGTGTTAATAAAATCATCGCGTCCTTTTTGTCGCTCCTTACCAGATATGGGTATATATACAACTACTTGGAAATGGGTGTGATATTCGTAGGCCAAACGTAGCAAGTATTATAATAATATTTTGAACTTATGTTAAAAAGAAACTTCCTGTTTTCTTTCCTTGTTTTTTTTTTATGTGAACCCGGAAATAACGTTTTTGCAATGTGTCTTTAGGCTTCATCAGTATTCTATTACGAATGCATCAAGAGTCAATCAGTCAATATTGATTGGATAACGCTTTTGTATCATCGGCACACCTGTTTGCTGTAATCTT